AATAATAGTTTTTTGATATTCTCTAATTAAAAAAGAAATAGAAAATTCTAATAATATTTAAAAAATATTATATATAGATCGATTGTTTTTTTATCTAAAATACTTTCTAAATATTTTTATATTTTTTTTAGATCTTTTCTATAGATAGTCTTTAAGTTTTATTTTTATAATTATCTAAAATTTTAAATTTATATATTATAGATATAGTAAATTTCTTAGTCTTATCTAAATTATATATAAGAATAATTGTTCTTAATCTGATTTTAATACTTTTATATGATAGAATAACCAGCTCTTTTCTAAAATTAAGTTATATCTAAGATTATTTAATATTATATAAAAGTATGCTTTTTTTTAATATAAGATCCTATATTTATTCTTACTTATATAATAAAATAAATTAGTATTCTATTATTTAAGATTTCTTATACCGGCCTTAGATCGATACTAATAATTAATAAATTATTTATTTTAATAAATATCTTACTTATAATACTGTAGATCAGATATTCCGAATTAATAAGAATATAAATAGTTATAATAAAGTTCAAATAATCTTTATTTAAAAAAGATATATAATTATATATTTTTTTTTAAAATTTTTTTACTTTCTTTTAGTTCTGTTCAGTAATTCTTATTTAAATATATAACTTTATATTAAAATCTTTTTCCCGAATTAGAGTTTTTGTTTAAAAAATATACTATTTCTTTTATTATTAAAAAATAAATATAGCAGCGGCTATACTTATTAGTTATACAGCAGGTTTTAAAGAATATTAATAAATAAAATATTTATTCTATTTATAATAAAAACAGTAATCTGTTTTATATCTTTTTTATATTTTATTAGATATTATCTATTAAGCCTGTCTCTAGGAATTATTAATAGTTATATAAAAATAATATTTTTCTTACTATATAATAGCTTTTTAAGTAGGTTTTTATTTTATTAGTTTAAAACTTAATTTATATTATACCAGTACAGTTTTAATATCCCTTTTTTTAAAGAAAATGTTTTATTAAAATTATAATTTATATAGTATAGTTAAATATAATAATTTTGATATATAAACTTTTAAGAAATTCTGATTAATTTTTTAATAAGCTTTTAGTTTACTATAATATCTAGTATAGCTTTTCTTATTTATTCGATTAATTATATTTTTCTGCTTATAATAAAGCTTTGTTAAAATTATTTAAAAATTCTTCTGATTTTATTCTTTTTTATTTTATTATATTTACCTGGTTTAGAACTTTTTATTATATATTAAGATTTTTAAATATTTTATTTATTATTATAAGTATATCTTCGAGTTGTATTATGTTAATATTTTAAAATTTAATTTTAAAAAATAATTATTATACTGTCTGTCTATATAGTTAACTGTAGATATAAAAAACTTATTTTAGTTTAATAAAATAATAATTTTTATTTATAATAAGTTTTATATATATATTTAGTTTAAATAGTTTATAGTTATACTTATTTTTTTTTAAAATACTAAAAGCGGGATCTGTAGTTCAGCTTATATAATTATTATAAAAAATTTTCTTCTAGTTTACTTTTAATAGTAGAAGTTATATTATAATTTTATAATTTATTTATCTATTTTTTAAAAGCTAGTTTCTATTTTATTATTTTTATATAAAAACTAATTAGCTTTTATAAAAAAAGTTATATATTATTGGATATAGCTGCAGATACTGCAGTCGGCTGTAGTTTTTTTATTTATTTTTTTTATTATTTTAATAATTTTTTTAATTTTATTTTATTTTATTTATATATTTAGTCGGGCTCTATCTAGGACTTTTTAATAAACTATTTCTAATATTATAGGACGGATGGATTATACTAATTAAAATATATTTTAAAATAAAAAAAATAACTAAAAAGCTATTTTATCTGTTTGGATAAACTTTTTTTTAAATATATACTAAGCTAGTGCTAGTTTAGTATATAGTATGCGAGGTCTCAGGCATCAACTGGTGCCTGAAGCTGAGCTCTATATCAGGGCCTTGGTCCCATTACAATTTATAAAAAGTATTAATAAGATCAGTAAAAAGTCTAGAAGCTTATTAAAAAAAACTTTATATTTTTTTTAATATTAAATATAATATTATATAATATCTTTAGTATTAGCTTTTTAATTTTTTATATTTAGTATATATTAGAAATATTCTGGTTATTAATCAGCTAGCTACAGTACTTTTTAAATATATATAAAAATCCAGAGATCGGAAGAAGTAGAAAAAACATTATAAATAATATAAATTTAATAGATATAAAGTCTTTTGATAAAATATTATTAAAATTAATATTCTAGAGAAAGAAAAAATAACAAATAAGAAAAGAACTTATAATCTAAGAAGAATATAAGAAAAGATGGATTCTAGCTATCTAAGCATCTATCGAAACTGCCGGCTAAGGCGGTGAGCTGCCCAGCCAATGGGAGGCCAGGCACTCCACAGAGAGTGAGACAGTCCTCCGACACGGTGGTGACTTTGTCGAAAAGGGCATACTGGAAAACCCTTGTTGTGGTTGCGGGCAGGCGGCGCCGGCCTGGGTGGCATTCACCAAGGTGCCGGGGGCATAGTCGAATGGCTTGGGTGGCGCGAAGCGGTTATGACCAGAGGTTTCCTGATCAAAACGGATATTCAGGAACGACTCGACATTGTTCGCGACTGTTCCTTCAAACCGGACTGCATCGAGACTCTCAACGAGCGCTCTTGGACGGTGATGCAGGAAAGGGCTTGAATGGTATGAGGAAGAAGCGCGTACAACGCCAGAATCGCACGAGTTGAGAATGTTAATCTCGTGGTTGAGCAGAAGGAGAAAAGGCTTGTCTGCTTCGATGGAACCTACCGGGAAGCCGAAGCTCAAGCTGAACTTTATTCATGGGTTGAGAGCGTGCTCGGCGACACCGGAATCGCGAGGTTAGGGCAACTTGGAAGGATGAGGCTGAGTTGCGGGTACATCCATGATCATGGAGACCTCCAAGCTATTAAGGTACCTGCACCGATCGGTATGGCATGTTTACATGAGTGACTTCGCTCCGTCAGTTGATTGGCTGAACATCTCGATTACCCTTTCGGGCCTTAGTCTCGAGACTCCAGGCTCAGCTTACTCCAGCCTCCATGACGGGATGATAAGCGGAGAACTCGGGCGAGCCAACCACAGCCACTTGAGCTCCCGCAGTGGGTACGCTGCCCCAATACCAAGCACCTCCGGAACATGTCGAAGGTAATGATCGTCGTTGGCGCACAGCCTCAATGCTACTCAATCTTCTAAGGAGCCTTCTGTAGGGCATTGAGATGATCTACCCTTCCATCGTAGTGGAGCTCAGGAAGCGGCTCAAGGTCACACTTTGTTATTGTATTATTGTATGACAACATATTTCAGAATGGACAAACGCACTATCCCGTAGCCCCTGATATCCCAAATCAAACAGGCTCTACTTGACAAGAAATAAAGCGGATATCAACTAGGGTTCTTGGAAGGAAAGGCCACACCGGTCAATAACAATTTTCACCATGTAAGATATTACGCTTCTGCCACGCAGGTCGCAATTCAGTAAAGATTCCATTCTGATTGAAATATACTCAACTCCCGATACACCACATCGCACAGATACGAGAAACAAATCCTCTATTCAACTGAAACACAAGCACTTAGACCACTTCAATCTTTCCGACCGCGGGTCTCTCGGTCGGAGTCAACTGCACAAAGTCCTTCTCCAACACAGCCGAGACCCCCAAAACCATAGTGATGAGCATGGCAAAAATCTCCTCCAGCACGTCCATGCACAGATAGATGGTGGGGCTGCCCACCAGCACCATGAACCGGGTGTCGGTCGTGTAGTCCCCCATTGCCGAGTAAACCAGACGAACAATGAGCAGGGGACAGGAGCAGGCGATGGCAAGAAAGAGCTTTCGCTGGAAAGCCCGCATGGTGGGGCGAAGGCGCACGAAGAGCCACGCGCCGATCGCAACGATGAGGACAAAGATAGCGAGGAAGATGCCCATGGATGCCTTGACGATGCTGTTCACGTGGTAGCTGCCGTTGTCATCTGCACTGCTGACGCCTGCAATGCCGAGAATCAGGCCAACAATGCAGACGAGGCTCACGATGTTGAGGAAGCGGGGAGGGAGACTTTGTTGCGTGTCGCTGATGTTTCGTTGTGGTTAGCTCGTCCCAGAACATGCAGTCGTAGGCATATTTGATTTGTCGTTGGTACTTACATTTGTCTCAATAAACCGACATAGGTGAGTAGCAGAGGCGCAATGCCGATGAGCTCGCACACCGCTACGGCGACCTCGACGTTGTAGGAATCATGGCTGATGGTCAAGAGTGACGCGATGCTCCCGGCAATTCGAATGAGGGAGAGCGTGACTGCGAACCGCCAGATTTTGCTGCCGATGCGCCAGCCTGTACACTTCCAGATAAAGATGGCAGCCACAAGAATGAATGGGAAGACGATGAGCTGTAGGATAGCGATCCCGTCGCGGTAGGTAACGGTGCCCATTGTAGATGATAAGGAACAGAAGCAGCAACTGGAAAGTGGCGTTGATCGATAGTCAAGAAGATTTGAACTGGGATACAGCAGAAAAATAAGAAAGAGCAGAAGCGAGATAGTATTTATGTTTCGAAATGCTGTTGAGGCTCATCTGTTGGGCAAACACAGCCCTGAAACTTTGAAGTTGTTGCCGAACTATGAATGGTAGAGCATCTCGCCTACCGTAAGAGGATTAGTGCTGACGGGAAAACGGTGGGTCCCGCGGCCCGCTTTCCAAACCACAAAACAACCAAGGAAACTGAAATCTCTTGGCCTCCGCCGATCTCGGTTGCTCCTCTCTGGTCTCCCTCCACCCCACACCACCTGCCAATTCACCTTGTGCATGCCACCGATGCCCCTCCCGCAGCCTTGGATTTCGGACCCAAGCATTTGCTCGTGCTGAAGGATTCAGTCTTAACACAGATTCAATTGTAATTTCCGCACAAGATGTCCGGTCCCCGAGTCTCCAAAAGTTGTGGCAACTGCCGAGCCGTCAAACGACGTGTGCGTAACATTCCATTCGGTCTTTCCGTGGTTCAGGGGCGCTGACTACCCATCCCCGGACAGTGCGACAAACAGCGCCCCCATTGCGGGCAGTGTATTCGACTGCGGGAAGAATGTCCCGGTTATCGAGATCAATGGGACCTTGTCTTCCGCGATCAGACTAACCAAACCATCCAGCGATCGCAGTGTCAGGCAGCCTCGACCGCGATGACACACAGCCCCCTGTCGCCCCCACCCCCCTTGCCCTCACTGTGTCCGAGCATGGACCAGGTGGGCGTCAACGCCTTCCTGCACCATTTTGTCACCGGCGACCACAGCCCCTCGCGTGGATACCTCAATTATATCCCGGCCACTCTGGGCGCCAATGACGACCAGCCGACCCTGGTCGCGAGCCTGGCCGCCGTCGGCCTGGTGACATTAGCGAACTCCCACCACCAGCCGGAGCTGGTGCGCCAAGCGCGCATCAAGTACGCGGAGGCCATTCGCAGCGTCAACGCTGCCCTGGCCTCGCCCGTGGAATCGGTCAAGGACAGCACGCTGATGGCCGTCATCTCCCTGGGTGTTTTCGAGCACTTCTCGGGCTTTGACGCGTGGGTGCGTCACGTGCAGGGGGCGGCCGCGCTGACCGTTCTCCGCGGCAAGGGCCAATTCGCCGGCGGCAATCCGACCGCCCTGCTCCTCTTCACGCAGGTCCGCACCGACATTATAGCCGCCTGTACCCGCACCAACCGACCGTTCCCGGCGGATATGCGTGCTCTCCAGGACGAGGCCGCCAAGCACGTGGGCGCCCCCAACGCTGTCTGGGAGATCGGGGTGCTGGCCACTCGGTGTGTGGACCTGTTATGGCAGGTGATGGAGACCACAGGCACAACTCGGTTCCCCGATCTTTTAAGCGCCGCGCTGGCAGTGGAGCGGGACTTTGAAATCGCCATGGCGACCCTCGCCGTCCAAGAGCCTTTTTATACCACCACCGCGGAGGAAGCGGGATGGGTAGGCAGTGATCCCGACACTATCTACAACGGTCGCGTCGACATCTACCTCACCCCGTGGGCGATTCGAGCCTGGAACAATGCGCGCAGCATCCAAATGATCGTCTGCGAGATTATATGCTACCTTTTGAAGAAGATGCTCACGCTGAGCCCCGCCGCTCCAGCTGCACAAGTCCGCTTGCGCCGTCGGCAACTGCACGAGACCCTCGGAATCCTCTCCCGCGTTGGCGAGGATATCCTGGCCACCGTACCGCAGGCGCTGGGGATCGTGGCCCCGCCTGCGGATCCATCTCAGCCCTACGCAGGGGATCTGAGCCCGAGAGCCAGCGTGTCGGGTGCATACATTCTGATTTGGTGTCTCTACATGGTTGGGAAATCACCTGCCACCGCAGAGCCGGCCCGCAAGTGGATCATTCGACGCTTTCGGAAAATTTTCCAGGGCGCGGGGATGGAGATGGCGCTGCCACTCCTTGAGGAAATTGTTAGGGTAGATCAGTCGAAGACATGAGGGAGTTGTTGGCGGGTCTCAGCTCTTCCAACAAGTCGTATATCAGATGCTGAATGAGAGACATGCAGGATGAGGAATTAGAATTATCCTGCTAAACAAACGGAGCATAGCCCCATTCCATCCCTGAAAGATCCCAACTCAGCATCGAGCTAAAATCTAAATGTGGGCCATAGTCCGCTAAGTCCGGAAGCGAAACACTGGGTATGCCGAGAGCTGCGTTTCCCGGCGCCACATCGCCGACCGTGCTGATGGGATCAAGAACCCGGTCCAATAGCTGCTCGAGTCGAGCCTGGGCTTTCCTGCAGCAGTTAGAGTTCCTGGTGCCTCGTGGAGCTACCCATGACAGACATGAGACATAGATAGTGAGATTGCGGATTGTTTTTGCATATGAGAGGCCCGGATAGGTCTCCCTATCTCTCAGGGCACAAGGGTCATCATGAAGCATGTCAAATAGGAGGGTTTCAGCACTTGAAAGTCCATAGGGTAGAAACTAAGCTTCCCCATCAGCGGTGCGGGGTTAGAATATCGGACTGCACGTACAATTGGAGCTAGATCGGTGGTCACTCCTCTCACCCTGTCTCGCTCCTCGTTCAGGACAAGCAGGGTAGAAAGGACCTCCTCTGCCACTGAAATCAGCGGATGGGAATACCCCCGGGCAGTATCTTGGTGTATAAGTCTTTGGGTCAGAAATTTGCAATGGAGGAAGTCCAGATAATTGTAGAGATGGGTAAGGACCTCTGCACACCCGAGCGGCTTTTCCCACATATCGCTGGTATATCTCATGTAGCTGGGAAAAGACTGCCACAATGCATCGAGAGCCTAAGCAGAATCTGTCTGAGCATGTGTCAGTTCTCTCTCAACCGTCTTCTTGGAACCACAGTGAGCGACATACGGGGCCTTTTCCTGTACAGCCGATTTGTTTGTGCCAAGCTGCATTTCGAGAATCTCCTCCTTGATGATGGCGAGGAGAAAGTGGAGGCGATTGAACATGATTGGAGAGCTTTTTGCGCCCATTACTGAGCCCAAGCGCATCCAACGAGACACCCTTGCTTTTCATCCTCGTGGTGTCGTCATCGCTGATGTTTACATCTGCCGGGGCCTCCATGTCACAGTACTGACGCATCACTAGGGGCGGACGGTCCAGAAACATCGCCAATTTCTTATCAATGGTGTAAACCATGGCGGAAATCCGTCGGCGCCATTGCGGCACGAATGTGATGTGCCCTCCTGCTGATGGAGTGACACGATGGAAGCCTGCCATATAGGTTGCAGAGACGATCGTAGCGAACGATGAGTGGAGGGTCTGACCTATTCAATACCGTGTCAAAATGGCCCTAAAGAGAATTCTAAGAGGACGTACTCACCAGAATCGTCTGATTGGTCATAGACCAGAAGAAAGCGATTATACTTCAGACATAGGCCTAACTCATCACACATTGGCAGATTGCTAGTCAGCTGCGTGAAAGCCTCGGTGACCTGCTGGAATTCCGAGCGTAGCACAGCTGGCTCTCGTTGACGAGGATCTGCGCCGACAAGGTCGCGATAATGGATGTGCAGCAGATCGCAATTAGCCAACATCAACACGTTACCTATTGTGTCCCACCGAAGATTGTCTCCGCTTATCAAACGATGAAGGCTGTAGAGCGACGTCGACTCGGTGACATCGGTGGGGCGATGAGATATGTGGAATATGCGAGCTACGAGACTGATTTTGGCTGAATCATTCACAAGGTCGAAGCTGTCCAATTGATACCACAGCGAATCCTATTCCGGGAGTAGGACGGATTCTGGGAGGATTGGCAGGTAATTGAAGCCGTACAGGTGAGCAATAAGGTTTTGTAGCAGCGGCAGGTTCCGATGAACAAATTCCAGTACCTGCAAGCCCAGGTGTATGAGCTGCGGGTTGAGTGGGTTGTAAACCAGGGTATGGTCCTCTGCATTGCTGGGCAACTCACGGGTTGCCAGGTGGTGTTCGCTGACCAGAGCACGGTTGGCACGGGGTTGAGGGGATCTGGCTTCCGGAACCACAGACGGGCTTCTAGCGATCGATGACACTGGATCGGCTGATACTGAGGGCTCCTGAGAGACCGGAGTTTCTGTCACTGCATTTTCTACCACCGGACTGACACGGTGCCGGTCACCGAAGGTGACAGGTCGAAATCCTCTTGTTGTGCGCGCGGAAGCATAGATACAGCGTATTTGTTTGTTTCCATTACTAAATCTTCCGTCTGCGGGATGCTCAGTCGTCTTATATTTGCCTGATAAGAACCCGCCTGCCAAGGGGTTGAACACGACCACGTCGATGCCCCAGCGGCGGCAGCAGGGGATGAGCTCATCCTCAATTCCACGCGCTGATTTTCGATAAAAGAATCAGCACTTCTCTTGGCTTCCATGAATAAGAGGGGTCATTCTCACTTAGCGCATTGTAGATTGCCTGGTAGATCGTGGGTCGCACCCAGCCGCGTTCATTGCACAGAGTTACGACTTCGGCAACCTCAAAAGCGGAGAAGTTGCTTAGTCCCAGCTGCTTGAACTTGCCCTGTCGGTAGAGTCTGTCGAGTGTTTCGAATGTCTCTGCAAAGGGGGTGGTGCGATCCGCCGCATGAAGATAGAAGATGTCCACGTGGTCCGTCCCCAGCTCGCGTAGGGACTCGTTCAGCTTCTCCTCCAGAACCTCTGCGCGGTGGGCGCCTACTGCGAGTGGGGCCCACTTGGTTGCCATCGACAGACCTCGCTCCTTCCACCCTGCCTGGCGGGTGAATGCTTCCTGCCGACCACCATCATAAAGTCGAGCAGTGTCCACCTCATCGTAGCCTTTTTCTTGAAAATGGTCCAGGCACCGGTTGAATTCCTCCAGACTCGTGATGCGAGCACCGTGGGTGGGGTCTGGGCCTAGGGTCATCAATCCCAGAATGATGCGCCGTGTGGTGATATTTTTTAATGCCATCTTGTATTAAGAACACCTTTTGAGAGACTGCTGTGGGATCAAACCTGTGTTCAAACCGAGGCCCTGAGAGAGGGAAAATGGATATTCGTGTTTCGAATGGCAGCTGCGTACTTTCTTCGAATATATAGTGTGTTTCAAGAAGAGAAGGGCTCCAGTTGGCCTCTAGGAGACCAGGGGAGTAGTATAGAAGCACAGTACCCGGCTCCGGCTCAGGGCTCATGCGTCCGGATTAGGAAGGTCAACTCCGACGCCCGCGCCGCGCCGCGCCCGCCAACGGGATTTTCGGAAGAAGACATGCCGCTCATGCGCTCCTCGGATGCGGCGCAGAATGCCGTTCCGCGATGTTTTGGATGTTGTCCTGGCACGGCCCGGGAAGTCTGCAGCGCATGACATTGGCAGAACATACCCAAATCACTGGACATCACATTGTACCAAGGGCCCGGGTATGCCTCGTCGTCCTTAATTTGTATCTTCAACCTTGCTTCTTTAATAATTTTCTTGACCCAACAAACATTAACAGCCCCAACCCCTGAAGATAGATAAAGTCATCCTCCACCAACAAGCAGCATACCACTCCCCCACAAACCTCTACGCCCCGCACCTCTTCTGCCCCGACGCCATGGGTTTTCAGTGTGAGCGATAGCACTATCGCTCTGTTGATATCCTACGAATGTATCTCCAGCTCCGAAGAGGTGGGCTGGCTCACTTATAAAATATGCTCCGCGCGTGCAGAATAGGTCAGTAATTCTTCTTCCCATGATTTCGATCCCACACAACTGGAATAAAAGTAGCAGCCAGTGGAATTTTACTCTTCGGCTCCTTGCCCGTTTCATGACATGTATTACACTTCTTGCGGTGTGTGCCAAGGCACGTGTGGCAGTACTGATCACATTGACTGGTCAGCCTCATCCCAGATCATCGCATCTCAAGGAAAAGCAGGAGGCGGCTAGCCAGTGTCCTTACCTTCTGACCGGTGCCACCACACATGCCGCACTTGTCTGACCAGTCCGCTGTAGCCGCGCGGCCACGGACGGAATCGGCTTCCTCCCCTGCGTTGGGGTTGTCAATTCGCCCGGAGCCATTACAGACATGGCAGGTCCATTTGCCACCATGGCAGGTACAGGTCCAGTAGCCATTTTGGCATTCCTAGGTGGTTATACGCTTCTTTAGCATTGTCTCTTCTCGTACGCAGTTCGTGGGATACTACGCACCGACGAACACGGAGCCATTTTATCTGCACGGTAAGAAAGATTTTTGGTTATGGTTATGGTTTTGAGTGTTGAGTGATCTTGGGAGGAGGCTCAACAAGCTTTGGGGTGGAAGAGGAAGTTGGATTCTGCAGGCTACTTATACTACCTCTCTCCGTACTCACCTGGAAGACAACGGGCTGCACCAGCTGAAGTGTGGGTCAAGAGAAGAAGATCGGGGAGATCTGAGAGCACTTCGATGAGGTGACTTGTGTTGCTGATTGGTCAATGGTCTCAATTGCAACTCCACCGAGCTCTAGTACGGAGTACACCTGTCCAATTTGCGGGGCTGGGTTTGCAGACCGCTAGGTACTAGCTGGTAGTGATCTCCAGAATTCTTCTACTTGACTGACTCGTAGTTAACCCTAATGAGCACCCGATGCGGCATATTTTGCCGAGGTTCCGTAGGTGTCATCGAAGCCTCCAGGCTGCCGCCACCACCACATAGGTTTCTCGGATTTGCCGGATCCTCGGAGCATGATCTGTTTCAACTGTAAGTTACCAGCTACGCGGACAAGAGTAATCCCTCACCTCGAGGTATTCCCGATAACTTATAAGGAATTAACCATCCAAGGCTCCAAGGCTTTAAGCAAGGGATGACCCAGCGGAAAATATTTTGCCTTCCGACTTGAACCATGGGTCCCAGCTTCAGGCTCCCCACACAAGCTGCCCGCTCCGGACTTCTCCAACCAATCATGATATGTCTCGCACATATGATTGCCTTAATTAGCTGGCACAACCACATTGATAGGTTGATCTGTACAGTACGGTATCTTGCCTTCCTTGCGGTGGGCGACACAGACAATATTCTTCCACTTTCATCCGGAATTGTGCTTCACGACTTCTTACAACTCGGTTGTAGCGCCCTTGTACTGTACCAGACAAGGTGGTTTCCGCACTTACTTGCATCCACGGGGCTGGATTGATGCGACCACAAATTGTAATGTACATACTCATCGAGATAAGTATGTATATGACAGCGGTCCCCAGAGTGAGGTATCCAGGAAAGAATAAGTGTGCAAAAGTATTGAGGAGCCTCTTAGGGCTGAGCTAGCGTTGGCTAGTAAGGACCTTCTTTCTGCTAGCTCGCGTGGTGGATCCCCAATGCCCGATGCAGACGCCTCGAGAATCCGATCCTAGAATTCAGGGATACCACCCTAAGTCAACTTCCTCATCCCGCCTTCGGAGCAATTAGCGAAGTCAAACATGGTCTTCTTTCGCCAACATCTGAAGAATGAAACAACAATCCATTCAGCCTTTAATCCCCTCCTCCCTCTCCCCCTTTGGCTCTTCCCCGCTCCCCAGCCCCTTTGGCTCCCACCCCGGCTCCGCCATCTCAAAGCCCCCAAATTCAAACCCCGGCGCAACAGAGTACCCCACCAGCGTCCAGTCTCCCAAGGACAGCGCATGCTGCCACTCTCCGCGTTCAATCACAATCTGCGGTCGCTGGTCGGTCCAGACATCCGGGCCTAGGACAAGGTTGCGCACGGCTGTACCATCGTCCCAAGCCAGCGACAGCTGCAGTGGAGCGCCGGCATAGTAGTGCCAGACTTCGACGGCGTCGAGCTTGCGGTGCCAGTGTGTTAGGCCGGACTCGCCCTCGAGGAGGTAGTAGATGTAGGTGCTGGCGGCGCGGCCCTCGGGGGTGGTGTTCGGGTCACGGAACGTCTCGATGTAGTAGCCCTTCTCGGGATGGGGGGTGAGGTTCAGGGCGGAGATGACTTGCTGCGCGGTGTAGGTGGTGGTTGCAAGCGCCATTTTCTCTGGGAGTTGCTTTGCTTCGGATTTTGGTTCTGTGGGGTTGTCTTTGGATAGCTGATTTTAAGGGTTATCTTTTGAGCAGCATGTGATAATGTCAGATAATATGGCAGGTCGTAAGCTGGCCAGCTTTGAGATTTATGCGAATGTTGGAAAGGGGTATACAAGTTTGTTGTGGTAGCCCTAATGCTAATTCTATGTATATCGCGAACAAAGAAAGAACGCTGATCGCTGGGCCATGACTCTGCCGCGCCTGACTATTTCTCAGTCACGACCATCATAATCCTTGCAATTTCTTGTAGCTTGGAGCGCCGAGCTTTGTCTTCTTCCCGTCAAGGAAATCGCTTACTCGCCAATTTCAAATGCGCCGGACCTCAAGTGCTCGCAGGGATGCCGGTGCCACCGGGATAGGAAAAGGGGCAAGGCATCCAGCTGAGTACTGATCTTTGTTCCTGGCCCAGGGCTTGTATCAAATGCGCTTACGGAATAATCACCTTTTTTCTATCTCCATATGACTCATCTCGTAGTAGATGTGTAGCTGATGGTTGGGATCCAGCATCCTCTTCCAGCCGCTTAGTTGCCTTGGGTGCGATACAATTTGAGTAGAAGCAAACACCTGATGTACGGAAATGATGGGCTTGACCTGGTTACACCACATACTTCTTCAATATAGCAAACAATTACTATTAGAAATGCCGAGTCATTCTTCTGTACAATATAGTTACTCCGTTTACTCTAACGGTACCTGCGGCCCCAAGCAAGCACGCCGATCCTCAAAATCATAACTCAAGTAACAATCATTTGAAACAGCCAGGACGGGCGGAGATCGTAACTCACCGGTCTCCCAGCATGAACGATATCAGGCAGGACCTGCGCATGTCCATGACAATGGCCGCCTTCATCGGAATCTCCTGGTGGCTAGGGCTGGAGGTGAATGCGTCCCTATTCTTGACCTTCAAGCGACGCCGCGGACTATATTTCTGGTCCTGCGCATTCGTCTCGTGGGCGATCGTCCTCCAACCTCTCCTTATCATCCTCGCCGACTTCAATGTCTGGACGGACCCCGTCCCCTCCATCACTATGATCTACCTCACATGGCTGATCATGGTCGTTCCGCAAAGTTGGGTCTTCTACTCGCGACTCCATCTGCTGCTTCGCAATGCAAGGACTCTGAGGACGATAAGGTTCATTCTTAGATACTCTCAAAAAAAAGATTTTTAAAAACTTATATAATATATATTAAAAGCTTCGAAAATATTATTATTAAATCTATTAAATAAAAGACTATATTTATATAATTATAACTATTTTAGACCCGATATTAAAGCTCGAAAAATATAAAAAAAACATATAGCTAAATAATAATATCAACTGGTATTATAAGTATTAAACTATTTTTAAAAAAATATTCTATTTTTATTATAGTTAAAATCTGATTATTAATATACTATCGACAGTCTTTAGATTACTATTAAATTTAAATAAGATTTTTTATAATATTTTTAAATATTAAAGATCTTTACCCGCAGCCGAAATATTTAAAAAACTTAAGATATATTTAGATATTAAAAATATATAGCTTTTTTAAAATATTTTTAATTAAATTAATACTATTCTAAATATTATAAAATATATTAATATTTTTGCTTACTAAAAGTCTTAATATAATTAGTGTTTTATTTTTTATTAGATAGCTAGAGATTTTCTCTTAGTTATAACTAATAGTATTAGTATTAAATATTCTTTAATAGTTTTTAAGATATCTGTTATTATTACCGGAGCTGTTTCTATTCTAATATAATTAAAATAGTTATATTTTAAATATATACTAATTATTTTACTATTAATAAAAAATATTAGAATATTTTTAAAAATTTTAATCTAGACTCGATTATCTTTATATCTAAGAAATAGAAAAAGAATAAGATAATTATTATTTTTTATATTAGTAAAAATAAGAATATAGATAATCTTGAAAATAATTCTAAAAATAAATTATTATTAATAATAGAAGAACTGATTTTATCTGAGTTGAATATTATATATATTTAAATAAAAATAGAAACCCTGTCTTTATAATTTTTATACTATTATAATTACTATTCTAAACAGTATAAAGAATAATATAATATTATTAGTATATTTATTTAATAATAAATATTGTTTTTTTATACTAGGTTTTTATTTTTTAAATAAAATAGATAGCGCAGATAAAGCAGATAAATAAGATTAAATAAATTAAGCAGATTAAGTATATTAAGTAGATTAAATAAATAAATAAGATTAAGCAGATTAAACAGATAGACTAGAACTAGAAAATATTATTATATTATAATTAAAAATATATTATACTTTATATATTATTTATATAAAAATAATATATATATTATAAATTAATCTATAATTATTAATCTATCTACTATATTTAATCTTTCTAACCGGCAGGTAGAGTGGATTAACCTGACCGTTATACCTTAACCTTAACCTGGCCATAATCTAGCGGTTAGATTAAGATACAAAAAAATTTTAACTGTACGGTTATAGTTAGATTAAAATATAACTATTATTTTAACTGTTTATACCTGCCGGTTAAAAAAATCAGATATAATAAATAGATTAATAACTATAGATTAATTAGTAATATATATATTTCTTTTATACAGATAATATATAAAGTATAATATATTTTTAATTATAGTATAGTAATATTCTCTAGATTTAGCTTATTTATTTAATATTATAATATAGTTCTAATCCTTCCGACTTATTTACTTAATCTATTTAATCCGTTTAACTTATTTAACCTATTTAATCTGTTTAATTTATTTAATTTATTTAATCTATTCAACCTCTTCTTCTATAAAGCTGAGAAGTATATTATACTTTAAAAAAATTTTTACAGAATCTAGTATAAAAAAATAATATCTAATATTAAATAAACTAATAAGATTATACTATTTTTTATACTATTCAGAATAATAATTATAATAGTAAAAGAATTAAAAAAACTGGGTTTCTATTTTTATCTAAATATATATAATATTTAAAAACTCAGATAAAGCTAGCTCTTTTATTTTTAATAATAATTTATTTTCTAGATTATTTTTAAGACTATCTTTATTCTTATTTTTATTAATATAAAAAATAATAATTATTTTATTCTCCTCTTACTTCTTAAATATAAAGATAATTAAATCCGGATTAAAATTATTAAAAATATTCTAATACTTCTTATTAATAATAAAATAATTAATATATATCTAAAGCATTACTGCTTTAATTATATTAATATAAAAACAGTTCCGGTAATAGTAGTAGATATCTTAAAAACTATTAAATAAATATTTAATATTAATACTGTTAGTAATAATCGAAAGAAAATCTCTAGCTATCTAATAAAAAATAAAAAACTAATTACAGCGGGACTTTTAGTAAGTAAGAATATTAGTATATTTTATAATATCTAAAATAATATTAGTTTAATTAAAAATATCTTTATAAATTATATATTTTTAATATCTAGATATATTTTAAGTTCTTTAAATATTTCAGCTGCTGGTAAGAGTTTCTAATATTTAAAAATATTATAAAAGATTTTATCCAGGCCTGACAGTAATCCGAAGATAGTTAATAGTATATTAATAACCGGATTCTAATTATAATAGAAATAGAATATCTTCTTAAAAATAGTTTAATATTTATAATACTAGTTAGTATTATTATCCAGTCAGATATTTTTTTTAAACTTTTTAAACTTTAACATCGGGTTTAGAATAGTTATAATTATATAAATATAGCCTTCTATCTAATAAATATAATAATAATATTTTCGGAGCTTTTAATATATATTTTATAAATTTCTAAAAATCTTTTTTTTTTTTAAATACCTGCTTTTTTACCAGTCGGTTAATTAAGTAATCTAAATAATTAAAAAGATTATTATAAATATTATAAATTTTATAAATAGTAGGCCTACTGTTCTCAGATAAATAGAATATAAAAAAAAAATATAAAAGCTTAAGAAAATACTCTATCTATTTCTACTTAATTATAATAAAATAAAAATAATTAATATTACTATAATTATAGTATTAAATAAAATTCTTAATTACTTAACAAAAATTAAGTATCCGGCGAATTATAAAATAGATTAAGTTCCAGCAAATTTTATAGTTAAAAAAAAGATAGTAGACTAAGTCTAATTTAAATTATTAAATAAGCTGGAATTTTTTATAGTATTAAAGACTTATATTTATAAATTATATAATCTTCCGAATTTATAATCAAGAATTAGTAAAATTAGCTATTATTAAAAAAAAACCTTTAGAACCCGTTTGTAAAAAACTAATCTAAATAATTTTTATTATAGATAGTAGAGGTTTTTTATATTAGTCTTTTATAAATAGCTTCTAAAATATATTTTTTTAAAAGTTTTTAAAATACTAAAAGAAGCTTTAAGACTTCTATTATAAATCTTTTATATATATTTAACAGTATTATTTAAGACTTTAATCTAAAGTTTTTACAAAAAAATATTAACTATAAGCTGAATTATATAAGTAAAATAGAATATATAGTACTAGCTTTAAATAATTTTTATAAAATCAGAGTAGAGTAAAGTATTATAAAACTAAATATTTTAATTAAGTTAAATTTAAAGTTTAGATAAGATTATATTAAATATTAAATTATTATTACTAGTATTATCAGTTGTTATATCTAATAACCGATAGAATAGGTTATATTTATATAAAATTAATAGAATAATTATAGCTAGATTTTTACTAATATAAGATTTAGATACCGGTTAAAAGCCTAGTAAAACTTTATAATAATCTATATCTTTTATTAAAAAATATCTAGTTAAAATAAGAAATATTTTTTAATTAAAACTAGTCTAGTAGTCTATTATAATTAATATCTGTTTAATATCTAAAAACTTTAATAATAGTTATATATATACATCTCTTAACAACTCTAAAAAATATTCTTTAATCTATATTTAATTAGAAGAACTTAATTTTTAATAAAAAAATAAAACTATAAAATTAATTATTTATTTAAATTAAATATACTCGACAGTTCGAAATAGTAGGCAACAGATAATTATAAAATATAAAATTTAATTCTAAAAATTCTATTTATTATAGACTACAGAGGCCTAAAAAAAGTAATAATTAAAAAAGATTTATTTTTAAAAAATAAATAAATATCTATAATAGTTTTTTATTTAATATCTAACTAATTATTTATTTAAATATTATTAATAGTATTTTCTTTTTATAATTCTTACAAAGATAATAGCTTATAAAACTAGTTTCTAAATTTTTAATTCCCGGGTATTATAAGATATAAAGATATATAATATAATAGATATAAAAGATTCTATTAGAAAATAATATATTTTTCTAAAAACTATTTTATATTATTAATATCTTTTTTTAATTAAAATAAAATAGCGGTTTTTAAGCTTATATATAGGCTTTAAAAAAAATTATCTTCTACTACTAATTCTAAAAAGTAGAAAGCTTTTTTTTATAAATTAGATATAAAATAATTTTCCGATTCTTCGCGACGCGCGTAATCTGAAGATTTAAAAAAAAAAAAAATCTGGCTTAAAAAGCTTATCTTAATTAAAATATTATTATAATTTATAAAAATCTAAAAAACAGAAAAAGAAAATTTAATAATATTCTCTAAAAATAAGCTAGATAATTATAATTAATTTATAATTCTAAAACTACTCTATAAATAATAAATATAGAAAAATAAAAATAAAAAATTCTATAAAAGCAGTTTATTTTATTTTAAGATATATTTTTATATAAATATAATTTATTATATTTTAAATACAGCTAAAGCACCTGCCGCATTTTATTTATTTTAAAAAATCTAATAAGTAGAAAATCATATCTTAAGCCCAGAGTTATAAAAATCAGATTAATTAGATTAGTCAGATTATTTTTATATTAATAAAAAAGACCTAAAAAAGGCTTTTATAAAATCTTTTAAAAAATATAATATCTAGTATTTAATTAGATAATTATTAGAAAATATAATTGCCGAGAAAAACTATATAAATAATATTATATAAATATTATAGTATAATTCTAATTCTTTCGACTTATCTACTTAATCTATTTAATTTATTTAATCTATTTAATCTATTTAATCTATTTAATCTGTTTGATCTGTTTAACTTACTTAATCTGCTTAATCTATTTAATCTATTTAATCTACTTAATCTACTTAATTTATTTAATCTATTTAATCTATTAAACCTACTGTTTTTAACTGTTTATTATATAACCCTAAATCTACTTAAAAATCTTTCTATTTTTAAATTCTTTTATAACTTTTTAAGCTACGTTTTATTTATAAATCTAAAAATAACCTAACTAAATAGCTAGTTAAAAATAAAAAAATAAGTTATTAAAATATTACTAATTTATTATCTATTTTATTATTCTGTTTGTTATTATTTATATCTACTAGCCCGCAACTTAACAGCGGGTTTTTCTTTAAGTTTAATTTATAATACAGACAATTCAACTTTTTTAGATAAAAAATAAGAATATAATAGACTATCTAAACTAGAATAAAAAAAATAATAGAACAGAAGTAGTATATTTATCTTTAATAATCTAATTAATAATAAATATACAGTTTTTTAGCTATTATATAATATAACTGAGATATACAGCCTAAACCGAGCTATAATTATATATATTTATATATATTTCTTGCTGTAAAAGTAATAGTTTTATAAAAAGCTAAATTTTATTAATACTACTAGAATTTTCTGATTAATTCTTCTAAATAGAGATAAAAAAGATACTAATACTTCTCTTAATTATTATTTTTTAATTTAAAAAGCTTATTTCTATATATTTTTAAATAACAGTTAAAATAGTCAGATTAATAACTGTTTAATCTAAATATATCTTAACCGTATTAAAGCCTAAACAGATATAACAGAGAGGTTTTAGTACTAAGAATAATTAAAATAATTAACTATCTGTTTTTTAGCTATACCGCGGTTAGATATAAAAATTTTCTTAACCTGGCTATAACCTGACAGTTAGGTATAAAAATTCTAATTAACCTGACCTGACCTGGCTGTTAGCCACTCTACCGGCAGGTATAAACAGTTAAAATAATAATTATATTTTAATCTAATTTTAACTGTATAGTTAAAAAGTTCTTATATCTTAATCTGACTGCCAGGTTATGGCCAGGTTAAGATTAGAGTGGCTAACAGCCAGGTCAGGTCAGATTAATTAAAATTTTTATACCTGACCGCAGGTTATAATTAGATAAAAATATAAATATTTCTAACCAGCTTAACCTGCGGTTAACCGGCGGATCTAATTTTTTAGTAATTTAATCTATTTTAGAAGACAGTAAAAAAAAGCAGAATATAACTATCTGATTTTAGTCTGATTTTAGTCTATTTTTATCTGATTTCTGCTTAAATTAGTTTTTTTAGAACTAGTCCAGATATAATAATTAACCGCGGTTAACTATTCTATCTAATAGTTAATCTAATTTTATATCTTAATCTGACCGCCAGGTTATGGCCAGATTAAGATTAAGATATAACAGTCAGGTTAATCTACTCTAGTTAAGATTAAGGTATAACAATCAGGTTAAGCCACTCTAATTGTAAATATATAGTTTTTCTAGTATTATAAATTATTATTGAAATATATAGTCTAAACAAAGCTGTAATTATATATTTTTATATATATTTTTTATTATAATAGTAATAAGTTCTAAACAAGCTAAATTTTATTAACTTTATTAAGATTTTTTTATTAATTTTTAGATATAGAAATAGAAAAGATATTAATATCTTTTTTAATTATTTTTTTCTAATTTAAAAAGCTTTATTATATATATTTTTAGATAATAATTAAAATAATTAGATTAATAACTATTTGATCTAAATATACTTTAATTATATTAAAATTTAAAAAGATATAGCGGATAGGTCTTAGTGTTAAAAATAATTAAAATAATTAATTATCTATTTTTTAGCTATACTATAGTTAGATATAAAAACTTTTTTAATCTAGCTATAATCTGGCGGTTAGATAAAAAATTTCTAATTAATCTGATCTAACCTGGCCGTTAGCTACTCTAAGTCTGATACTATTACTTTTCTTAGACCATCAGGATATAAAAGTAGTATATGTACTTATTTTAATACAGGAAAATGTAATATCTCTTTATAAATAATATAATTATTTGCTGTAAATAAGCTTCGAAACAGGTGTTGTTTTTCTTGGAGAGCTTGCTATACTCAAATTAACATCTAAGTCCTTTTCTGTGACTAAATTTGAGGTCGGATAGTAAGAGCCCTTAGAGTGTTAGCGTTCTTTTCCTTTCGGCTAAAAGCTTCTGTAACCTACTAGCTATATGCTAAGAAACCCCTAAAACCCGAATAGTGGAATGAATTTGCCATGCTAGAATACCACATTGCTGCCGCCGCTACAAAATTCCCGAGCAAACTCCGTTACACAAACCACCCTACCAAGCTACCAAGGCTGCACGCCACCCTCCTTAACAACAAGCCCCACATCCTCATCCCTCTTCCCCTCAACCACATCCCTAACAAGCTCTCCCCCAACACTTGGATGCGCAGCCCCCATCTTCGCCCCAATCCCACCTCCCAACCCCGTGGCGAGAAAGCCCGGCGAAACAGCAAAGACCTTGACCCCGTCCTCATTGAGCACGCGCGCCCAGTCGCGCACGACCATGTTCAGTGCCGTTTTGCTGGCGCGGTAGGGTAATAGCGCAGCGCTCAGCTGCTTTTTCGGCCAGCCAGCGGGCGGGGGCACGTTGATGAAGAGGTTTGGCTCCATCGTCTCGTTGAGACTGGATGTGCCGCTGGTTATGAAGAGGAGGCGCGGAGATGAGGATTTCAGGAGGAGGGGAGCGAAGGTGTCGGTTATGATGTCGGTGCCTGTGACGTTTACGTTGAGGGTTTGGTTCCAGGCCGCGCGGCGGGGTGTTGGATCGGAAGGGGGGAGCTGTGTGCCTGTGGTTGGTGGTTAGTTAAACTGGGTGGATGGCGGAAATGTAGTGAACATACCGGCGTTGTTGATTAGTACGTCGAGACGTTCATACTTGGCGGAGATGGTGCTATACGCGGCTGCAATGGACTCATCGTCGGCGATGTCGAGCTGCACGGGGCTGATGGTGCTGGGAGTTCCAGGAAACTCCTGCCGGAGGGTTTCGGCGGCGGCCTCGCCCTTGGAGAGGGTGCGGGCGGCGAGGATGAGATCGTAGGCGGTTTCACTGCGGCAAAGGGCCCGGAGGGTTTCGAGGCCGAGGCCGGTGTTGCCACCGCTGATGAGGAGGATCTGCTTGGACGCCATGCTAGTTGCGGAGTTGGGTTGGTCTTGTTCGGATGAAACCTGCTGCGTCCTGCTCTTGTGCTTGGAGGTTTGACTGATCTAGGGACACTGGTCCCTCTTATAGAGGCTCAAATAGTAGGTCATGGTGAAGTCAAGACTGGGGAGATCCGTGGATGTGAGTCCGCGGGGCTACTTAGTTCCGGTATGGAGACGGAGTTAACGGAACTGGGCTAAGAACCGTGGACCGGGAGCAGTGGGTCTCCGTATAGATACGGCACGGCGTCCATGCTAGCGCCCGGTGGTTCCAGAACATCGTTGCGCCAGCGTAATGCCTAAGACGTTGTTTCCTAATACTATACATTATGCATGCCATTTTCGAGCATGTCTCCACATCAAGTACAGAACATGTAATTATCGATGAGAGATACGTGAGCGTGTAGGCATTTGCAAAAGGTTCCGTTTATGGATAGTTACATTCTAAACCTTAGTAACCTAGTAACGTTGCCATTTTATTCGTAGCACTATCGTGGGTCAAAGGAGTAATAGTAATGTCACGAAAATTGTAGACTTCATTCAGAAGCTACAAAGTCACACAACGCCCAAAATCCGACAAGGGCGTCTCCACCTTTTACTATATACCAAGCCTCCAGCTCCAGTTTCTCAACTTCACTCTCACCAGCTTCAAAAACGTCCAATCCCGTCCCATCGGTCCAAGTCCCACCACCAAAATGCACAAGTATACCGTCCTAATCACTGGTAACCTTGCCCTCCAAACCTACCACTCTAGTCCAACTCTCTTATCCGTCCCAGGAGCAAACACTGGCTTCGGCTTCGCCATCGCCACCGCCCTATCCTCCAGTCCGCGCTACCACATCATCATGGCCGTGCGATCCCTTGCCCGCGGTCAAACAGCCTTTGACAAGCTACACGCCTCCCACGCGCACACAGCACCAGAGTCGCGAGCAACAATCTCCCTCCTGCACCTCGACCCCACAGACTGCGACTCTATATCCTCGGCAGCCTCCTACCTCACCCAGAACGTCGGCCGATTGGACGCTCTAATCAACAACGCCGGCCTCCTCTCCCGCCTCCCAACCCTGCACGCCCAACTAATAGAAACGTTCTCCCTAAACACCTTCGCCCCCGCCCTGTTGACGGAGTCCCTTCTCCCGCTCATGGAGCGCTCTCCCGACCCCCGCGTAATACACATCTCGGCGGACCTGGGCTCCATCACGCTGAAAAGCGACCCGGCAAGCCAGTACCATGAGATTGACCACATGGCCTACCGCATGAGCAAGGCGGCGCTGAATATGATGACTGCATGCCATGCTGTGCAGTTTCACGGTTGGGGAGGGAAGGTATGGAGCTATAACCCTGGTTTTGTGGTTACAGATGCGTGGGGGAATAGCGAGGAGGCGCGGGAGGCCATGAGGAAGGCTGGGGCGGGGAGCGCTGATGATGCGGCGCAGGGTGTCATGGATATTTTAGAGGGGGGTAGGGATGATGAGACTGGGTGCTTTTTGGATAGGCATGGGAGACATCCGTGGTGAGGTGAGGTGGGATAAGCAATAAAATTGTACAGCGGTGTTGAGCGGATGTCGGTAGTCTATGGAGTGATGATCTAGGTAGCTGGGAGAGTTAATGTTGATGGTGGCCATATATGCTTGTCGTTTTCGTACCGCGAGTAGCAGAGCTACGGCGGGTCAAGAATACAGGGAGTTTATCTAAAAATCACTTCCCTGGGCCACTGTAGGAGATGGCCGCCCCAATCTTTCAAGAGCTCCTGAATATACTCCAAAAGCACACCCGGCCAGTGCTGGAGCAACCAAAACCCGTTGTTCAGGCTCATAAGCGCAGCAAAATGCGCCAGAATGACAAGCGCAACCGGCTGCCGCGCTACACACAGATCCAGAAATCGCCTATCTACCTCGTTAACCCACGTGAAGATGACCATGATGCAAGGTCCATTATCACGCGAGTCATCGACAAGGATCCTCATACACGCGAATATGCGCTCGACCGCATCAAGACAGATAGCGCGCTGCTCCCCTTCATCAAACCCCCCGCGAATTGCGTCGCGGAGAATGCGCAGCTGCGGAAATTGCGCTTCAAGGTCGCACCTCCCGATCTGGCGGTCATTGGACGAATACTTGGCGGCCATGAAGGGGTCCGAAAAGGCAACAGCGCGCAAATGCTGCTGCACGAAGGCCGTCGTGCGCCGTCCGAGCCAGACCGCGTGCAGGAACTCGTCCACCGGGTTGAAGGCGCAAGCTTGGCTTAGACCTGTGGGGCGGTGAAGGGGTTCCACGACGGCGTACAACGAGGTAAAGGTGGAAAACGCTAGCATTGCCTTGTGGGAAGTACTATCGCCATCTAGGTGCTGAAAGTGTGGTCGAGCGCGGCTTATTGCGGCCTGTTGGTGGGCTAGAGCGCGAGAGTACCAGCACGGCCGCGCGCGGCCTTCGCCAAAGCGCCGCAGCGAGACCAGGGCGAGGATGCTGTTTAGCAGGTAGGGGTGGGAGAAGCCCAGTTGGGCGTAGCTCTGCTTGAGTTCCCGGTCTTGGTCGGGTGGCCCTGGTAGGAGGGGATGGCGGTACCAGAAATCCAGCAGCTCGAGGTCGGCGAGAGACTCTTGGTTGAGGGGCATGGTTGCTAGGGTGGGCGCGGAGAAGCTACAAGAGAGATCGAGCCGCTGACAATTCGGGCATTGGGGGCGGACTTCGATACACTAGCGGAGTTAGACTTGATGGGAGATTTAAAAGCTGGCTTACCCGAATATGGCGCTCCTTGCACTGGAGACACCCATCTCGTGATTTGGTGTGGGCCTTGCGCTGTCTCGCCATAATGAGAGTCGTGAGCGGGTAGTGCTGTCGGAACAGGCGGAGTGGCGCGTATTTATACGGCGCCCCGCTGCTCTTACTCAGCATCCAATTGAAATGCAGATCCGCCTCATCTCTAAACCTATGTAAGAGCTGCGCAGAGAAGCCGGGCAATACACTCCGCATGCGGATAAATTGGTAACAGGATCCACGGAAAGACTGCTGATATACAATGGGGATGATGGTCTTCTCCAGAGCCTAATCTCCGTATACACTAGTTAGCTCATTTAATTTTCTATCGAATTATTGCCACAACTTGAAGTATGTTACCATTGCCGATTTCTCTGGACAGACACCGCATCACTTCGTCATCCAGATCAATTCTATAAAGGCGGCATGAAAGCATAGAACATAGAATGGAAGAACTACCATATTTCTGCTGGAAAGCCGTCAATCCCATTTCAATTAACCTCTGAGTTACTTGTGCCATCTCTTCTCCAAAACTTCACTACTTCACCAGCGGCACACTTGCACGATGCCCAAAAACCTTCTGACAGTCTTTGAAGCCACTGGAAACCAGGGAGGCTCCGTCGCAACTACCTCCTTGATGATAAAGTACTGAATAAACAGTTCTCAGTCCGCGGCATCACGCACTCATCCTCAAGCTCGAATGCCAAAGCCCTTCTAGCTAAAGGGGTGCGATAAGATCTCTATTATGAGGCTATCCCCATGTTGATGCCTTCGGCTGTATGGCGGCCTGACGATCCTGTCGGACGATTATCCGTTCGTCCTCGATGGCGCAGCAGAAGACTGGTTACGCAAGCTCGTATTACTTCCAGAATTACCCTCCTTCTTGCAGTTGCCCCTCCTTCCTGTTTGGACGAAGAGACTGTACATAAATATAATCTGCGAGGAGCGGCTTCTAAGCTTCTCAAGAAACAGTCTCTGAAGTAATCTGACTTTGTGTTTTATTCTGCCTGATTGACAAGCCCTCTACCCTGCAAGTAGATAATACTTTTACAAGGGGCATCGACTATCAAAGCAGATCAAGACGAGTAATCTACCCTCGCCCATGTTCTAAGCGGCACCCGCACCCTCTTTACTTTCAGACACATGTAACACGGCGTACAGAGCCACGAGGTCGAAATACGCCAGGCTAAATTAAGTACATTATCTCTAGCTCTCTTCCCTAACGCCTCATATATCCAACGGAAAACTCTAAGATGTGCACCACTTCGACAGTAAGGCGGGATTCGAGCAACTTATTCGTAGACTACCTATCTCATCCACCTTCTTCGCCTCCGCGGCCTTTGTGCAGAATTTGCCAAGTGTCCACCTAGCGCCGTAGCCTTCGCCTGCAAACAACGGGTCTTACATCCTCGGGAATATTTGCAATGCGAGCCCTAGGTTCTCGCTCGTTAACGTCTCTAACACGCACAAGTGGATTAGCGGGGTACTTACTAATCCTATAAGGTAATTATGTAGAGAAGAGGTTTGCTACTATCTTGTGCGAAATGGCCGCAAGACTAGCATGCAAGCACACTACTAAACAGTTCGCCGATCCCTACTTTTCGTGCCGCTAATTGGTCAGCTTTGGCTCGGTGAGGCAGAAGTGGAGTATCTGCCGTATTCATACGGGATATGTCGACGCAAGCACCAATATCACATGCGACACTATGCCAGGGCCAGGTCTAAAACATGTTCCACGCGAATAGGAAGCAAAATTCGTCCAGAGAATACTGAAAAAAACCCCCTGTAATGCAATGCTCGGCGTTCAATTGCCGCCGACCAAGAGGTTATTATGGAGAGTGTTGAGAAGAGTGGGCCCGTTCATTACAGTGGCATGGGATTGGCCAAGATGCGTCCCACCTTTTCTACAGTATTGTATTTGTATGTAATATGCGGGTAACAACTGGGTTCCAGTTGATAACTCGAATACAGCTAATGCCGAAGAATCAAGTCCAACAAAGGCAGGGAGGAGAAGAGACCTACTGTGGTACATGCCGGGCCTTTCCTTTGTGCCGGCCTCAGGCATTCACCTAGTCCCAACAAAGTTTCACAATCCGGAAACTGACGCGTCTAAATGAACAAACTACCAGTTCACTAGTTATCTCAAGGACTTAAGTCGTAACCAGCAGGATATGATCTCATATAATTCCAATTTCTCATTTCGTTGAAGGACAGTAAATAAACAATGTCAACGGGCTATATATGGACTATGATTTTCCCTGTGCTCCTGCCAGACTTGATCCGGTCAATCGCGCTAGGCATATCCTCAAACTCAAAGACAGAATCAATGACAGTCCTGACTTTCCCAGCCGCCATCCATTCGGATATCTGCTGGAAGGCTGCATGGTTACTTTTTGCGAAGTATGCCTTGAACTTAGCTCTTCCGCCACCCAACACAGAAGGACAGATCATGTTTTTGCTTAATGTCTTGAGCAATGCACCTGATACCCCACCAGGCACCATGACAAACGTTGCTCCGTCGGTCAAGAAGTCGTCTGAGGCCTTATATAAGTTTACTTGTTCCCGATATGCATAATCAACCACCAGGTCAAAAACCTTGCCTTTCCCCTTCAGAACGGAGACCAGATCCTCCGTACGATAGTCAATCACTTCATCAGCACCAAGGTCCTTGCAAAGATCAATTTTGGTGGTTGAGCACGAAACCGTCACCTTACACCCGTGAGCTTTCGCAAATTGGATAGCAAAAGTTCCGACACCTCCCGTGCCTCCATTGATGAGTACAGAATCGCCAGGATTTGAATTCTGCACTAGGGTCTCGTAGGCTGTAATAGCTGCCGTGCCGACACCTGCGGCGTGATCCCAGTCAATACCAGGTGGTATCAACACACAGCCTTCAGATTCGGCTTTCGTGTACTCCGCCATGGAGCCTGGATGGCCTTTTTGCGTGTCCACTCTGCCAAAAACGCGGTCGCCTGGATGCATAGAAGCAACATTGCTTCCAGTCGACACGACCTCGCCACTGAAATCCATACCAGGAATTGGATTGGGCTTAATAAGAACTCTGGCCGGCTGGCCTAGCTCCGCAAAGGTAGGGTCGGCTGGGTTGATCCCCACGCTCTTGACTTTGACGAGGACTTCGTTGGGCTTGAGGGGACCCGAAGGATAGGGCTCGTTTTCCACAAGTGTCATGCCATTTTCGAGGGGCATTTTGGTGGAAGTGTGTATCCAGGCCCGCATGGTGCGGTTTTTTGCCATTTTCGGAGATGAAAGGGCAGGGTGTAGTGACTTGCACAAAACAACTGTCGAATTATGTGTCTCACTTGTCTTACTGAACTACGTCGCCGTGCTTCTCGCTCTTATATGTTATTTGAGAACTGCGGTTGCGTCGGTGGCGCCATGGTACTTCGGGATCGGGTTTATTCATATTCCCGATGCATTTTATTTTCGCTATAGCCGGATCAAGACAGGTTTCTAACCAGGGGTGGGGTTGGTGTATGGGGAGAGATTCTGCGAAATTAATTTGCTTGTTTACAATACGAGGGGATATGTAAAGTCCGATAAGTTCAGAGTTTGAAGTCCAGGATGGGGTATCTCAACATTCACATTACCTTATCCACGCTGGCCAGATAATATGACAGATATTACCAATTGGTAGCCCTGCTGCCTGAGCAATCCATAAAGAGATGCTCGGACGCACCTGTTATGCCAGCACCTATCCTTCCCGGGGCATTGAAACTTCCTATCCTGGTCCATAAGCCAGGCGTGAAAAATTTCTTCAATACGCGAAGACTAATTTTTCTGGTGGGACGTAGAGCATACCAATACATAGACTGCTATACGTCCCTCTACACAGGCGAGGAAGTAAATGTTATCCTGTTGTCATCTAATTACGTGCCTCACGAGGGTACTTGATACATGAAATAATAAATATATTCTTGTACTCTTTCCTATTCGTCCGGTCATCGTCCTTACTACACAAACAGCTTCTCAATACCATGATCTGACGCAAATTTAAGCTCTTCCATCGTCTCATGCCACAGACGCTCGCTCAAGACTTGACCCTCCTTAGCATATAGCAACCGAGCGTATGGCTTGATGGTCCAGTCACTGATGAAACTACCATGACCTCTCTTGCCCTCACCTAAAAGTGCATGGATATAAACGCTTGCCCCAGACTGGACCTTACGTCCCAAAGCCCTGGCAAAAAGAGGAATCGCATATTTCTCCACGAAACCGGGATTGGGGCTTCCGTTTCTTCCTAGACCCGTTCCAGCGACCATACCTGGGTTACAGACGTTGATAATCACATCGTCAGGGTTGATCTGTTGAGCCAGCCTGCGGATAAACACCATAAGCAGCAACTTTGAATCCATGTACTGCTTCATTCGACTGTAACCCGTCGGATTGTCCATACGGGGAAAAACAGGTTCAGCCGCTGAAAAGGTGCTGAGGTACATGGTGTCGGACCCAACGATGGTAAGAACAGGCGGTTTGGTGATTGTTCCCGCATGAACCCTGTCCTTCAACATTAATGCAAGTAGCACACATAGAAGGACGGTGGAGATGTAGTCGATCTGGAAGACCAGTTCGTGACCCGTCGTAGTATGCCTCCTGAATGTGCTGCTCTGCATGGCGGCGTTTAGGATAATGTAGTCGATGCGATCTAGGCTCCGGCACTGTCTGACAAAGGCAACAATGGAGTCATACTCTGCCATATCCAGCAACCAAACTTTTATATCGACATCGGGAAATTCCATGCGCAGCTTTTTGGCGGCGGTGTCTCCAGATGCCTGTGAGCGCACGGCCACAATTAGACGCGACAAGCCAATCTGCAGAAGTTGTCTGCATGCTTCAAAGCCGATTCCGCTATTAGAACCGGTGATAACGGCCGTATTCCCGCTGAGTGACACTTTGATGGGGAGTGGTTTTGGGTGGACGAAGAGCTGCTTGTAGAGGATGCCGAAGATGCTACTCTCCCAAAAGAGATCTTTTTCAAGTTCGGCAGACATTACCGGCAGTCCATTGATCGGAATTCAGAAGTCGACTATCGTAAATATTTAGGGTGAGTTAGGCTAGTATTCAACAGTGTGTGAATGAAGCTTACTTCTCGTGCTCACGTACAGGGCTAAGAATGTTGGGATTTTGGATTTACTAGAGGGCAGAAAAAGCTTTGGCTCTTATGACGAAGGGCGATACCGCGGAGAAGGCTACGACGTGAAATAAGGGGTGTTCAATTTTCCGTTGTCAGCAGACAATTGACCCATCAAAACGAGCTCCTGCCCACATCCTTTGTCGGTATCAGTGGAGAATTGGTATTGCAAGGCCTGGTCAGAATATATTATTGTAACTTCGCCAAGAGCCTTAGTCATGCTCGGGCACATACAAATTAGTGTGTGTAAAGAGCATAAACTATTCAGAGACGACTGTTCATGGACCTGATTGGGTATACAGTTTGGAACCGTCATCCTTTCACTAAATCTACAAGTGTGGATCTCGTGTGAATACGGGTGGAGAACCGGGTGGAGACCTGGTTGGCGCCACCCGTATTCATACGATGACCGAGGACACATGAGCCCAAGCTTCCTCTCAATCCTGGTCAATGGCATGGCAATGGAACACTGCAATTTGGTTCTTGGCTCTAGTGACTTACTACAACCAACCCCTCTTGAAGATGATGACCAATATTGGGCAAGTATGAGAATAGGAAGCCGGCCGAAGCTCAAAGTCAATTGACCACCTAGGTTAGAGACCCTGAGTACATGTGGAGGCATTTCCAACTACGTGTACAGCAGACTATTTTTCTGCGCCTATATTATAGTATTTCCATACATGCTAGTTATATTATCTCTGTCCTGTTAAAGCCCATATCTCTCTTCTCCAGCCTATAACGTTGAAACAAAATTGCTACTTTCAAGATCTACCGGTCCCAAGAACCTCCTGACGCCTTACATTTCGAAATAGCCTTTCAACAACGGAGCAGCCACCATGGCAGGAGCATCACAGCCCGAGTCGAAGGCTTCTGGTTCTGACACAGAAGACGGAGTGGATGATGATGCGGCACCCTGGAAAGCAGAACTCAGGGAAAGAGATGCGACCACGACGGCTATGATGTTTATCCCAAGGCGGTTCAGCTGGCGCTTTTCTATTGGCGCTTTTCTATTGGCGCTTTTCTATTGGCTGTATTCATAAATATATTTCTGGTGACATTAGTAAGTCCATCCTCTCCACGTCTGTTCTGTCGTTTCTCAGCCTATCAACTGAGACGTCGGACAGGACCATCTTGTCATCTTTATAGTTATTCCACAAATCACGGACAATTTTGATTCGGTAACAGATATCGCGTCTTTGCGCAGCGCAGCATCTTTGCCGGGTTCTTCTCAACGCTATGTACAGTAGTTTGCAAGCTCGGCTTTCTATGATTTCTACTCTCCGATTCTTGCTGAGCATTTCTATTGTACTTATCTCCTGTTTACCCAGAAATAATATATATCTCTCCAAGGAGATGCTGTTCTGATTAATATAAGTTACAGCCTGGCTGATTACTAGAAAAAGAAAGATAAACTACTTAAAAAATATATTTATTATATGATTATCTTTAAAAAGATCTTTCTAAACTAGTAGTTTTTTAAAGACCTTCTTACCAGTTTTTTAATCTATATTAAATATTAAGATTATATTTACTGCTGCCAGCTTTAACGCAAGTTAATAATTATATAATATAAAAAGTATACAGCTATTCTTACTTTAAGAAATAATATTCTTAAATAGTGATACAAGAAGACTGTTTTTAATCTATATATCTATTTTATCTATATTATCAAAAATAAGAATCTATTTTTATTAGTCTAACTAAAATAAATCTAAAGCTATTTTTTTATCTCAGCTGGTTTTATATCCTAAAATCCTACCAGACTTATAATACTTATAAAAATCTATTTAACAGTCTTATATAGAGTGGATTAACCTGACTGTTATACCTTAATCTTAACCTGGCCATAACCTGGCGGTCAGATTAAGGTACAAAAAAATTTTAACTATACAGTTATAGTTAGATTAAAATATAATTATTATTTTAACTGTTTATATCTGCCGGTTAGAAAGATTAAATATAGCAGGTAGATTAATAACTACAGGTTAATTAGTAATATATATATTTTTTTTATATAAATAATATATAAAATATAATATATTTTTAATTATAGTATAATAATATTCTCTAAATTTAATTTATTTATTTAATATTATAGTATAGTTTTAATCCTTCTGACTTATCTGCTTAATTTATTTAATCTATTTAACTTACTTAATCTATTTAATTTATTTAATTTATTTAATTTATTTAATCTCTTCTTCCGTAGAGCTGAGGGGTATATTATATTTTAAAAAAAATTTTTATAGAATTTAGTATAAAAAAAATAGTATCTAATATTAGATAAACTAATAAGATTATATTATTTTTTATACTGTTTAGAACAGTAATTATAATAACAAAAAAATTAAAAAAACCGGATTTTTATTTTTATTTAAGTATATATAATATTTAAAGACTTAGATAAAGCTAGCTTTTTTATTTCTAATAATAATCTATCTTCTGGGTTATTTTTAAGATTATTTATATTCTTATTTTTACTAATATAAAAAATAGTAATTATCTTATTCTTCTTTTATTTTTTAGGTATAAAGATAATTAAATCTGGATTAAAATTATTAAAAATATTCTGGTATTTTTTATTAATAATAAAATAATTAATATATATCTAAAGTATTATTATTTTAATTATATTAGTATAAAAACGGCTCTGGTAATAATAATAGATATTTTAAAAATTATTAAATAAATATTTAATACTAATATTATTAGTAGTAATCAAAAGAAAATCTCTAGCTATCTAATAAAGAATAAAAAACTAATTATAACAAAACTTTTAGTAAATAAAAATATTAGTATATTTTATAATATCTAAAATAGTATTAGTTTAATTAAAGATATTTTTATAAGTTATATATTTTTAATATTTAAATATATTTTAAGTTTTTCGAATATTTCGGCTGCTGGTAAGAGTCTTTAATATTTAAAAATATTATAAAAAACTTTATCCAGGCCTGATAGTAATCCAGAGATAGTTAATAATATATTAATAATTAGATTTTAACTATAATAAAAATAGAATATCTTTTTAAAAATAATTTAATATTTATAATACTAGTTAGTATTATTATCTAGTTAGATATTTTTCTTAAACTTTTTAAGTTTTAATATTGGATTTAGAATAATTATAATTATATAAATATAGTTTTTTATCTGATAGATATAATAGTAATATTTTCGAAGCTTTTAATATATATTCTATAAGTCTTTAAAAATTTCTTTTTTTTAAAATACCTGTTTTTTTACTAGTCGGTTGATTAAATAATCTAAATAATTAAAAAAATTATTATAGATATTATAAATTTTATAAATAGTAGGCCTACTGTTCTCAGATAAATAGAATATAAAAAAAAAAATATAAAAGTTTAAGAAAATACTCTATCTATTTTTATTTAATTATAGTAGAGTAAAAATAATTAATATTATTATAATTATACTACTGAATAAAATTCTTAATTATTTAATAAAAATTAAATATTTAGTAAATTATAAAATAGATTAAGTTTTAGCAAGTTTTATAGTTAAGAAGAAGATAGTAAACTAAATCTAATTTAAGTTATTAAATAAGCTGGAATTTTTTATAGTATTAAGAACTTATATTTATAAATTATATAATCTTTTAAATCTATAATTAAGAATTAGTAAAATTAGCTATTATTAAAAAAAGATCTTTAGAACCTGTTTATAAAAAATTAATTTAAATAGTTTTTATTATAAATAGTAAGAATTTTTTATATTAGTCTAGAGTGGCTAACGGCCAGGTCAGGTTAGGTTAATTGGAATTTTTATACCTGACCGCCAGGTTATAGCTAGGTTAAGAAAATTTTTATATCTGACCGCGGTATAGCTAAAAAAGAAATAATTAATTATTTTAATTATTCTTAGTACTAAAATCTGTCTGCTATATCTATTTAGACTTTAATACAGTTAAGATATATTTAAGTTAAATAGTTATTAATCTAACCATCTTAACTATTGTCTAAAAGTATATAAAAATAAGCTTTTAAAATCAGAAAAAAATAACTAAAAAAAGTATTAGTATCTTCTTTATTTTTATTTTAAAAAATTAATCAGAGATTCTTAATGTCACGGATAACTTTTAATACCTCAGCAGGCCGCCTATAAGTCCCTTACGTCTTCCCTACATAACAGTCGTAACGTTAATAACTCTAATTCTTTTTAGTATTTAACTTCCAGAACCTTGCTAGATCTTTGGATAGCAAGAATTAGTCTTAAAATTAATAAACTGCTATTATTCTATATCTAACTAATCTTTTTTCTTTATAATTCTAATTCTTTCTTTTTAGTTATTTATAGAATATAGTATATTACTGTAATTCTTATATTCCGATAGCGGTTTCGAATTAGAAATTTTTTCTACTACTAATAGTTTATTATTTTTGCTACTAGATTCTTCAGTAGAGAATCTTACTGCAGTTAAAAATATTATTAATCAGCTATAAGATTACCAACAGTTAAAAAAATAAATTACCGAACTATAATAAGAAATCTAATATAATAATATTAAATTAGTATTAATTCGGCAACAAAAAACTTTCTTTTTTTTAAATAAATCTAAAATAAATATTAAAATCAAAAATATTCCGCAATTCGAACTTTTTTTTAATATTTAAAAATACCAGAAATAGTTCTATAATTTAGATTATAATTTTTAGAAGATATTATTTAAATTTTATAATAACTATTATAAGATTCTCGAGGCTATAAGCTATATAAACGCGACTTGTTAGTAGAAATAATACTATTATTTTAAAAAATTATTATTAAAATAAAAAAAAAATATTAGCTATTTATAGTCTGTTTTTATTAAATAAATATTTTTTCTTATTCGAAATACTA